CCGAGGGAATTTCCCCGTCCAAGTATAGCGTGGGTAATTAACTTCCCGAAATTCGAGGACCAGTATGTGCAAGAGGTTTCTAGCTAGCGGAATTTCGAGTGATCTTATTGCAGCACGAAACACTGCAAAAACGCTTGATCGCACGGAGCCCCCCGTGCGCGTCGCCAGTGATTTAATGTATGTACACTCGTGTGTCTGTGTTTATGAATATTTATGTGCGTTTCTTGTGTACGTCTTTTTGTGCGCATGTATGACCATGTACGTGCAGATATGCAAGCATGTGTTTGTGTGTGTGTGTGTGTGTGTGTGTATGTGCGTATGCATGTGAATGTGTCTGTACTTTTGTGTATGGGTGTGTGCGTGTGCATGTGGATGTGTATGGATTTCCCGGTGTCAAAGAATGATTTATCAAGAAAAACATGCCCAAGGATCATTTCACGTCGTTCGTTGGTTGATCTTTGCATTCTCGGAATGGGCCTCGACATGGATTTTAATACCCTTTTTTTCGATCTTCGGTTGGATTCTAGCTTCTGTCTCCGGCTGGATTCAGGTGCTGTGAAAAGTCCATCCCGACAGTCACAATAACTCCTCTTCCGCTACCCCCCATCCCTTTCCCTGCCTCAGGATTTGGAACGGGAAAGTCAGTTTGCAATTTGGAAAATACCATTCTTGCGAAGTAAAAAATTTAATGGTCTAATAATCGAAGTAAGAAATCTTATGATCTGTGATAGTGGAAAAAGTGAATAAATGAATAATTCAGCAAGAAGCACAGAGTTTACAGTAGACGTCAGAACATTCAGAAAGTCGTGTACTTTTCAAAGGACAAAAATACCTTAGGATCCGTTCAGGAGATCTGAACAGTATCGGAGAACAAAACATCATGGAATACTAATTTACCGAATAGACACCCCAGAATGTGCGTAGGAAATGCGAAGTGGTAGGGTAAGCAAAAAATCCCAGAATCTGCCATATAAACCCAAATAATACTGCTCGGCGGAATACAGCGCCAGTAAATTAGGTTATGCTACCACAAGTGACAATGGTGAGGACCATCAAATTTACAGAATGCCATGCTTCCGAAGGCGAACCAGGCTACGTGTGTTGCTAGGCCGAACAGATCACGTATTGTGAGGTCAAGCAGGCCATGTGTTGAAACTTCAGAAAGGACAAATGTTTCTCATCCATGATCCACCATCTTAGTAATTCAATAAACACATGTCCCAGCGTAACCACGGTGAATCCGACAAAAAAGTACCGTCGTAAACACGGAACGACTGGATGTTTCGGGATTGGTGCTGTGAAGCAGCCAGCAGTAGATGAGCCGCTGCCCTGAGGCCGAATAAATGCGGATAAAGCAGATCCTGATAAAAAGGCTTCCTCCTTTTGATTCGCTCCGAAGCCAAGTGAGATACCAAACACCCTACTCCTCCCATTTTTCTTCGGTTCATCCAGCAAACTAATGAGCTTTCAACTTTCTTCTCCCTCCTTCTTTCAGTGCTTTAATAGTCTTGAGATCATGAATTTAATTTGGAGAATTTTAATTTTGAGCAATGTTTAGGTCAGTGATGCATGAGTGTAAGTCAGAGACTCGCGATGAGTGCTTCTGAACTCCAAATCACATGGCATGCCATCGATCAGTTGAAGTACATGGGTCAGAGGCAATAAACATTATGAACCAGAAAACAACAGCGATACTCTCCAACAGTATTATTCCGTACATTTCAATTCTCGATTTATTCATGAAATTAGCAACTAAACATATACACTATATGAGAACACTGTTTAATTCATGGTAACTAATAAATTATAATATTAAATAGAAATTAAGAAGGAACACTAAATTAGAATACTTCGATCCATTAGTCATATTATATTCCAAGTCATTACCGCAAATGGATCTCGTCATTACGACTGTTGTGATAACAAATGATAATATAAAATATAGGAACATTATATTGAAGGGTTGAAAGAAAATTTGCTCGATGTGACATGATAATTTTGGTGTATTTACTTTCGAAAGAGTAAATGACTACTCGGGCGCCCCACAAACAGATGACGCACACATACCTAACAAGTGACGGTACTAGCTGAAGGAATGTAATTTAGAATCAAAGGACCTGGCTTAGCTGTATTCGGTGTGTGGCAATACGCCAGTAACATTACAGGCATGAAATAGTAAAACTGATTGCTCGGACAATCTTAATTTCTTGATGCTTATTTTATTAGTGTGACAGAGTGCATTTCATGTGCTTCTTCACCTATGGACCTTTCGACTTGTCCATTTGCCTTGACCGGTGGTGCATTAGCCTGGTGGTCAGCTTACTGATGGATCTGATGTCCTTTGATTTCCTGTGAACAATCTGCTAGCAGCCATGATGCTCATTTGATCTTCTGAGTGGATAATTAGGGTTTTTCCGGCAAATGTTAATAACTATTACTAAGAATACTAATAATAATGGTGGTGACAATAATAATGACAACATTAACAATAACCCAGACTGGAAAGCACCAGGCTTGCCAGTGCGATCACGCGTTTTTGCTAAACTCGCAGTTCGCTAATAGCAGGAATGACCCTTGCTCTGTAACCTAACATTTGGGGTCATATTGGCCGTGCTTTGGCCTTTCCGGCATGCAGGAGGAAGGGCGTGAGCTGGGATGAAGGTGGTGCATTACAGAGCCACACGGACCTCCAAGTAAATGATTACCAGTTTTCACGCCTATGTGCAAATTGGCATACACGCATACTGCAACGACCCTGTGTGTGTGTGTGTGTCCCGGTATATCAACCCGGCAACCAAGCAAGTTCCAGCACCAAGATTTAGGCCAGTACGTTCCCCGGCCATGTGTCACCCGAGAACTGCGGTACCAACCCTTACGCAAGTCTGGGCCACGCGTACTAGATGGTGGAAGTTTTGGTGGGAAAACTGCTAATTCAGGAACGGGAAAAGCCAGAAAGCTGAAATTTTGAGATTATGTTCCCCGTCCACATTGAAGCCAAAGATTTCAAACTCAGCCCGCGGGTGTAAATGGTTCCCGCGCACAGCCCCGTGAGGGTTCTTGGTGCGAAAATCACTAACTTGGAGACCAGGAAAGCTGGGAGGCTGAAATTATCAAGGAATTTTCCCAGCCCTCGTACTATTTAAAGTTATCAAACTCAGCCCCAAGCACGCGCGGTTCTTACGTACGGCTCCGTGAGACTTTTTGGCGGAAAAATGGCTAACTCGGGACCAGAAAAGATGGAAGACTGAATTTTAAAGGGATGTTCCTAGCCTGCGTGCAAATTAATGATTCCAAACCCAACAGCCAGGTATACTTCAAGATCAGATGAGGTCTGTGAAAGTTCTGGCTGGAAAATTGCTAGCTCGGGAACCAGAAAAGCTGGAAAACTGAAATTTTAGGAGAATATTCCGCGTCCAAACATAAATTAAAGGTTTCAAATTCAGCTTCCATTTGCACGTGGTTCGCGTGTACGGGCACTTGAATTTTTGGCGAGAAATTACTCGTTGAACAGCTGGATCATTCTCAAAAACGACTGCTAAAAGGAAATTGTTTGTTTCCTTTTATGCAAAATTTACGATAATTTACGGTATTGAGTGGACAAGGTAGGTGTAAAGAAACAACCGTTCATGCAGTTAACCTAATTACTTCAAGTTTGGTGCAAAAACGCATGATCGCACCGGCTCTCCTGATGCGTTCCAATCTGGGTTGCATGAGACTCGGCCATTTTTTAAGCAAATGATCGCCTTTTGAAAAAATGCAAATTCCCAATTCACTAAGAAGCTAAGATGTTGCTAGAGCGGTCGGCTGTCAAATAAAAACCAATTATGCAAATGAACTGTGTGTTTATTTACTTATTTGGATGAGGGCAGTCGTTTGCTGCAAAACGCACTCGTTTCTGATTTTTCGGTACAGCTGAGTAATTTTCAGGCCCACATGCAGGAAATTCCAGTTTCAATTAGAATTAAGACCGCATTGAAAGCAAAAATCCCAACGAATTTTGAGCCTCTCACTTTGCCTGGTAAGCGAAATATCCACTTTGCTACAAATATTTTTGAAGTGCCCTAAATCATGGTGCAAATGCAAATCAGTACTTATTCTAGGTGAACGATTTACAATATGGGCGAAAAACACGCTAACAAAATTTCAGCCACTGTTTTCCGACAAGTTTTCGAGTTAGCACAGTACCAAGTTGAAAAATTTGACGTGACAGTGCGCGCTGCACAAGCGAGCGCGGCAGCTGAATTTAGCTCGCACATGCACAGAGAATATCCCAGCAAAGTTTCTACTTTGTAACTTGCCTGGTTCGCAAAATCATTTCCCGCCAAAGAAAGCTGCATATTTTTTATAAGCGAAAATTTTAAAACGGGAGGATGATACACGAGGTGGGAGTATACACCAAAAATTTCAGCCTCCCAGCTTTCCTGCTTGCTGAGATGAAAGTCAGTGGCAAAGTTCACTCGCTTC